CGCTTTGCTCTTGTATTCGATTGAGGCTACTTTGGTTTCTATTGAATTCTTGGAGTATTTGATCGAGGTTCAATACTTTGTCGGTGTGCGTGACGATGTGCTTGGAATGGGTTTATCTTTTCATCTCCGTCCTCATGCTAAAGCTGTCTATTGCGGGGCAGTCCTCTCTTCTTCTTCGATAGTACATACAGGGGGGCGAAAGGGAAACAAGGCAGAGGGGGATAGATATGAGAACCATTACAGACTTGGAATGACATGTATAGGTGGTAATCATTTCCCACTGTCATCAGCAGCTAGGATCAACCAAACGATTTCAATGTTCAGGGACGCTGGACCCGCTTTCGAGCAGGTGTTGCTCCCCACCAAGAGATGGAGACTCCCCGATGGTGATAGTGGTGTCTGCTCTTACCAGCACCCCTAGCATTAGCTCGGGCTGTTTCCTTGGGGGTTGGGGGGGGGGGAAATGAAATGATTTCAACGGTGTAGATTCTTCCTCACCGTTCACCAAATTTGCGAATCAGTCCCTCATCTTATCTCAGCATACCAAATTGAAAGGATGGCTGCACCAGCCATACAGAAAACAAAAGGCCAGTCTTGATTTTTTTCGGGCCGAAGGCACGGGACGCAGGGAATGGGGGCAGGGGGGGGGGGTGTGGCCGAGGCAGCCCCACGAAGCCACATTACTGATTAATGGTCATAAAAGTACATAACAGGCACTTGGTGACAGGTTACACAGAATGTGCCCCTGTTYGAATAAAGCATATTCATGATAACACATTRATGTACACAGGGACGCTGGACCCGATTTCCAGCAGGTGATGCTCCCCACCAATAGATGGAGCCTTCAACACTGGGACCTGCTTAAGGAGGTAGGCTCGTACCGCCTCGTTAAGCAAGACTCCCGGAACGTGAGGTTTAAAAAAAAAAAAAACAAAAAAAAAAAACACTAGTACCTTTTTCATTTATTTTTTTCAGAGGCGCGCTGGGTAACGTGCTGGCCTCAAACGGAAGGGCGGCCGCCGGTAAATCGAATCGGTGGCCAGTCTTGACTTTCAGGCCAGCATGCAGCGCCGGCGGCTAACATAATATGGGAAAGGTACTGGTGGTTTAAAGGACAGAAGGTGCAACCTCCAAGTTCCCCTTTTTCTTTTTTTTTAATGCATCCTTAAACTACCAGGGGTGAAGTCCCACCGCCGAAGTTGAGTTTTCTCAACGCTGAGCTTTCTATCACTTGTGGCATGGTGGGACGGAGCTCTGCCGCTTATGTATTGAGAATCAAAGGGTACCGAAATACAGGAGAATAACATATTAGATTTGGTCATTTTGTAGAATTTTTCTTTGACGTGAAATCCGTTGGCCCTTTTGGTTTGGGCGGGAAGCCATTTTCCATTGAGAAAACTACCCTACCGAGGGTAGGGTACATTTCTCAACTTATTTGCCTTTCGGTTTTTTTTTTTTTTAGATATCATTACACCCTGAAACGGAGGAACTCTGACAGCTGTGTTTGGCTCTCTCGCATCAAACTCTCTTCCTTCTTTGGGCAATGAATGCATCTAGCCATCCATGTTGTCCCTGTCCATTTTACGAATGGTGACCTCCTGTCCCCTCACCACGGGAAGTACCCTTTTTCCACGGAGACATTCACTCCGACTGTGCCAGACGTGTTTCATTTCTCGGAGTTACTTCATCAAAAATAAGGAGAAAAGTTGTTTCTAGCGTTTTTTTTCAGTTTTTTAATTTTTTGTTTCGAATTTATTAATGTCAAAATGGTGTCACACGGTTGCGTTTTCTAAACTAAACTTGGGCGGTGGGACTTCACCCGAATACTTGGCCCAGCTATCGGCCATGGAAAAAGATAGAGTAGAAACGTTTCTTGTCGGATGAGTCCGGGCGCTCCTGTAGTGACCCGTACATCTCCTAAAATTGTGGTTTGTTAACGGGCACTCCTTTAGGAAGTACTGGCCGTTTAAACCACCACTACCTTTCAGAAGCAAGGCTAAGGCTTTGATCCCACTGGCGGAAACGATTGGAATAAGTGTCTGAATCTGGACGTGTTTGTGGAGAGGTGCAAAAAAATGTATTTGATCTGCTTTTCTGCATCTCTGCGTGGAACATGTCCTGATTCAGACACTTATTCCAATCCTCTTTGCCAGTGGGATCTGGCCCTAAGTTGTAAATATAACCTACACCGCATTCTTCGGAGGCTGGGCGCCACTGGACCAAAATGGTTGCCGGGCCCAGCCAAAACAAATAAAAGAAGGTCGCGGTGGCGCTTCAGCAAAGCTTGGCGGGCCGCCCTACTCGGCCTCGGCAAAAAGAGGCTTGGAGGCTGCTGCTGCAGGGTGATAAGAGCATCCCCGAACAGCAGGCTTCCACTTGTAGATGGGTCTGATAATGGCAGCACCTGCTCGAAACCGGGTCCACTGTTCCATTACAATTTATTTATTTTTATTTTATTTTTTTCCATTACAAGATCAGGTGTCGTATTTTTCAAACGATACACCCTTACAAGATCAGGGCCTGTGTTTGAATGAGAGTGTTGGGCGACATTGATTGCCCTAGTAACGGGGGGGAATTGACTCCCATCAGAGGTAAGGAAGGACCCTCTTTTTTTTTCTTTTTTTTTTTTTTCTTTTTTGGGACAAATGCTCCAGTCTATTCGTGGGGAGAAGCACGTGCTGGGAACCGGTCCCAGCATCCCATATAGAGTTACACAAGTCATTTGAGATACCGGGGCCATTACCCGGCTTCGGCTGAGAATCAATCTGAGAACTATTGAGAATTATTGAGGAAATTCAAGAGAATTAAAAAGAGGTCGAAAAACTATGAATGACTACTGACCTCTTTTCGAATGCTAAGAACCCCTAGACTCCCAAACAAAGCTCTCTAAAACTATCCAACACTGTCTTATTCCCTGTCCAGCTCTCCCAGGCCTTACACTACAGAGCAACACGACTCGCCCCAGCTCCGGCCAACGTCCTCCCAACAGCAACCCTTGGTTGTCCTTTGGAATGTCCACCCCAAAGCATCCCCAGATCTCTCTACCAGGCCTCACGCTCCTGCAGTCAGCAGGTTACAGGGCAACACCCCAGCACCAGCCAGCGTCGTTCTGACATCGAACAACCGCAAATCCATGAATGTACCAGTACCAAACAGCCTAAAGCGAGTTGCTAGAAGTCCCCAGAATCCTAAAGCATGCTCAGAACCACCTCTAAACAAACCTTTTTTTTAAGATATCCTTGAGATACTGGGGCTATTACCCGGCTTCGGCTTTTTTTTTCCTTTCAAGAACACTGAAATTTTGTGTCCCTCAAAGCTCGGATCAAAAAAGCATTCGAAAAAAAAACCGCCTGCCTTAGGGCCTTTCAAAGGACAAGGGAGGATCCAGGGTAACGAGTACAGACTCATCTTCCATGACTGGACCAAGCTCGACGGCTCAATCCCAATGCGACCGAGTGATGAATTCCCGGACTTCTTTCCCCCTCCGGCAAACAGCCTAGTAGGAATAGATGGGTACCGGGGGGGAAGATGGGATGGATCGGGGGCTTTGGGCCAAGCAACAGTTAATGAGGTGGTAGATTTTCTTGTATAAAAGGTGTTTGGGAGAGGAAGAGACTAACTTTTCAGCAGTTGATATTTGGCGCCTGATACAGGGCGAAGAGGTTTCCTCCTTTTGCAACAGCCTGCATAATCGGCATCTCTATCTGATAGATAAGGCATATACAGGAAGCTGGAGATATCAACACATCTCTGTATAGGGACACTGGATCTGTTTTCCAACAGATACATTCATACTACTCTTTTTTTTTTTTCTTTTTTTTTTTAAAGCTCCGATCTATTGGTGGGGAGCAGCACCTGTTGGA